TTACAGTAGCTAAGGGGTGAAAGCTTTTGCCAGGGGATCCAATAGTGGATTCATTCATTGGAAGGTAAGGACATTTGGGGCTCGCCATGAAACCACAACAGACAAAAGGGAAGTTACAAGGAGCATAGATGGGAATTGTGAGGATCCTGGGCACCTTTCTGTACTAACACTAGCAAGAAAGTAACCAGTAGACTGCTGCCACTGGTAGGCACAGGCAAGATCTGCAAAAGCTCAGAACTTTCAGGGATAAAAAGTTTGCGAACTACATGTCTCAGGCTCCCAAATTCATGCTCTGTAACATAAGACTTTCTAGTAATATCAATTTACCTGTGCCCTAGCTGGTGTGGCTCCATGGATTGAGTGCCAGCCTATGAATCAAAGGGTCACTGGTTGGATCCCCAGTCAGGGCACATGCCTGAGTTGCGGGCCAAGTCCCCAGTAGGGGGCATGGGAGAGGCAACCACACACAGATGTTACTCTCCCTCTCTTTCTCTATCCCTTCCTCTCGCTCTAAAAATAAAATAAAATCTTTAAAAAAATCTACTTGCAGTTCCTTAATCAAGAAATTCCCTTTCTCATTTCCATGTCTTTGTATCTGCTTCTTTGGAATGCTCTTATCAATGTTCCATCTGGGAACTCCTAATTATCCTCTTTGAAACTTTCTGATCCCTAGAGGTTGTTCCCAAATATCCTGACATAATATTCTACAATGTCTTAACATGAAATACACTCTCTATGCTTACTGGATTTTCCCACAAGACTATAAGCTTCTAAATGGTAGAAATCACAACTTTCATATTTATATTCTCAACAATTAGTACTCAGTATGGGAGTACTAAATGTCTACTAAAAGAATATCTGTTCTTTTCTTTTTCTTTTTCAAGATTTTATTTATTTTTGAGAAGGGAAGGAAGGGAGAAAGAGAGGGAGAGAAACATTAATGTGTGGTTGCCTCTCCCATGCCCCCTACTGGGGACCTGGCCAACAACCCAGGCATGTGCCCTGACTGGGAGTTGAACCAGAGACCCTCTGGTTTGCAGGCCAGCACTCAACCCACTGAGCCCCACCAGGCAGGGCTGAACATCTGTTCTTTCTTAATTTTCTATGGTTTTAACCACTGCATTTTGGGCACTTATATTTAAATTAGCATCTAATAAATACTGTGTTCCATTCCTTAATTATTTGATATGGTATTTCCTAATTCTTTCAATAAGCCTGAAAACTTAAGAGCTGAGTCCACACCATTTACTAGTTCTTTATTCTCTTTAGTACGTCAGAGTGCTGGGCACATGGCACACACTCAATAAATACTTGATGAACTGAATTAAAAACACAGTATTAGCACGTTAATAGGAGCAACATATCATGCCCTACTGATCTAATTAAAAGATCTGGCCTTCTAAAGTGGTGCAAGTGTACCCATATGGAAAATTTAATGAGAAAAAGAAAAATTATCCAATTGGACAGTTAACAGCTTTTCTCTGAGCAAGAATTCCACAAATATTTTATAGATAACAAGAGTCAATCTCTAAAACTTATAGTAAAAAATTCAAGGTATAGCCCTGGCTGGTGTGGCTCAGTGGATTGACTGCCAGCCTACTAACTGAAAGGTCTCCAGTTTGATTCCCAGTCAGGGTACATGCCTGGATTGCAGGCCAAGTCTCCAGTTGAGAGGCAACGGATCAATGTATCTCTCACACATCAATGTTGCTCTCCCTCTCTAAAAATAAATAAATAAATAAAATCTAAAAACAAACAAAGACAAAACTGCAAGGTATATATCCCCATGCATTTTACAACAAGGGTTTAAGGGGCCTGTCACAACCATAATTACTTAAATTCCACTGACCCTTAACACATCCATAATAGGAGTAAAATACATAAGACTGTTTAATAGCAAAATTAATTAATGCCAAATCAGTCTATTTTAAAGATGTATACAGTTATCTTTTCACAATATATACCAAAACAGTTGTTTACTCATACAACAAACATTTAAGTGCTTACTAATGACAAGTGCTGTTAGGGCCCAGGAATACAAAGATGAAGAGAACACAGTTCCTATGTTGGTGGGGTTCTAGCTCTGCCATATTGCAATGGTATTAAAGAACAGGATGTGAATTGTACCTCTTGGAGTTGCTCAACATGCATGCTCTGGGGGTAGCAGTCTGGTGGAAAAGGTGGATAAACACATACTTCAGGAAATGTGGTTAGTGTTAACACAGAAATAAGTACAAGCTGTTGTGGATCCACAGAAAACAGTCAACCTACTGAAGAAATCAGGAAAAGATATTGAAGAAACTGACTTCCACACATGAATTCAATGCAAGTTAAGGTGTGAGGAAGATACCAAGACAGAAACATCTGGGATGGAATCAAACCTGAAAATGTGGTTGTGAGCAGAGTCAGTAGGGTTCCAAAGCAAACCAATCAACTCAAAGCAAACCGTTGTAGAAGGACCCCAAAATAAAATACTCCTTGCTGTTAAGTTTGATAATAATGAAACATACATACAAAAGATTTTAAACCACCACATAGTAGAAGCATAAACGGAGTCTTTTAAACAACAGATGGCATCAGAGTTCAAAGACAGCCAGTCAATCACTAAAAGTAGAGTTTAAAAGTATTGATGGGGAGAGTGAGGAGAGGGAGGGACCTTGCTATGCTGAGAAAGACCAACATTGTTAACAAAAGCAGGGATTCAAACTGCTTGCAGTGGGACCACTGGGAGGTCCAAAGACTCCTGTTGGGAAGCACTGGGGAAAAAGATGGACAGGTAAGTGAAGGCCTAATTTAGAAGAGACTGGACCACAAGCCTAGCAGACTGAACATTGTTCTAGACTAGCAGTTTTCAACTGGTATGTCACAAGAATTTTTAGTGTGCAATACTTGACTATTTAGTCAGGAGCACTGACCTCTTTTTTTTTTCCCTTAGGCTGTCAAATATAAAAATGACAACAGCCAACACAACCATAGTTGTCCAGTGTGAATGAATCAAAATTACACCTATTTTTTTGCCAGATTGCCAAAACATACATTTTTTTTTGGTATGCTGTAGAATTTTAGTAATTAGTTTATGTGTGCCATGAAGTGAAAAAGGTTGAAAATCACTATTCTGGATCAACAGTAGTTCTTAACCCTGACTACTGAATAGAAACACCTAGTGATATTTAAAAAAATACCCATGGGTGAGACTCACCCCATATCCAAAGTAAGAGAATCTCAGGTTGGGGTTGGGAGTGGCCTGAGCATTAAAATGCAAAAGCACACAAGGTGATTTTAATGTACAGTCTGGATTGAGAACCAGTGTGCTATACGAAAGGAAGGTAAGGTAAGGCCTAACAGATATGGTTAAGATCCAAACCTGATTTCATTCAGTTCCTGTTTGTAAGCAACAATTTTGAGTTCATTATCCGGTGAAGCTTATCTTCTAACCCGAGTTAAACATTTTCAATTTTAGTGTTTATTTTCCCTTATTGACAATGTTAAGCTCTGAAAAGAGGAAAATAAACCTATAAATTTCTCTTATTTGACTATTTCACTGATTGCACAGCCTGCAACTTTTAATTTTATTTCCATGATGTCCCATAGACAACTAACTGCCCTTCGATTCCAGCAATAAAGCACCTCTATATTAAAGAATGTTCAAGGCTGCATTCATGTATGGATTTTATAAAATTTCTCTTTCAAGTAGAGTAAGAATGTAATACCTACCCATACCAAAATCACAATGCTTAGACTAAAGCAAAATATGAGATTAAGTATTCATTCTTGTAGCACCTGGAGACATTACATCGTACTTGTTTCTAGTTTCAGAAGTGCTATAATTACAAAGTAATTTGCTTATTTCACAACAAATACTTTCAGAGTACTTCCCAAATAAAGGGAAACAAGAATGTATCTCGTATAGCAACTCTGTATTGCATTGAACAAGTGTCACGTGTAGGAGGAAAAAGTCATCAAAGTGACTGGAGAGTATGTCTGCCTGTTGATCCCTCAAAAACCAGGTTTGTCTTTTCCTTACTTGTTTTTTAAGAAAAAGCATAGGTATGAATATACTTTAGGTTCCATGTTACTCACTGAAGGGTTTATTCAAGAAGTCTGTACTTTGTTTACAGGTAAGAAACCGTCTTCTTTTTATGCAAACTTAAGTTAGCCACAACAGTCTTGTTTTGTAGGGTGTTAGATCACTATATCTACTTAATGGTAAAAACGGTATGAGAACATAAGTTGGAAGCCTGTAACTGGGAGTCCACACACAGGCTTATGCAGTTTCTTATTTCCAGATGAAGTTAATAAATCCAAAGGACCCTACCACAGTGTAACCGCAGACGACGGTAAGTGGAGAAGGTAAAAAGGGGTCAGTGAGTATGGAAGAACCCAACAATCAAAATATTACACGTGAACGAGAGTGCAGAAATATTTCTTGGAAATATGGAAAAAGATTCCAAGAGTTGGCTATTAGCTTCCATCGTTCCTATTCAGAAAAGAAAAGAATGGCTTCCAATAAGAAAACGCAAGCCTAACTCTCATAGGGGTGAGAGTTAAAAAGCAAATCACGTGAGTCTGACCAGAGGGTCCTAAGGAAATTTAGAGAGTAAGGAAAGAAGAGGGGATAAAAGAGACAGGAAAAGGTGCACAAGGCGGGCAAGGGCCATCCGGTGTGAACCTAGAGCCCAGCTCTTTATGCACCCAGGGCAGCGTGAAGCCTCTCTCGCCCCACGCGCATCTGGAGGCCGGGGAGCAGCGCAAGTCCCCCACGGGCCTGGCACCAGGGGGCGCGGGGCGCCCAGAGGTCAGAGAGAAGAGGGATGCAAACACCCCACCAGGCTTCGCAAGCAGGGGTCCCCACGAAAAAGGCATACTTTTCGCAGCCCTAGCCTCTGGGAGCTGGGAGGGGGTGGGTGGAGCAGAGCCCGGAGCCGCCCCCCGGAGCCGCCCTCGCAGCCCCGGCCCCCGCCCCCCCGCTCCGGCTGTCAGCGACCCCCTCCCGCACTCACCCGCGGGCTGCGCAGTCTCGGCCGCGGCGGCAGCAGCGGCGGCGACCCCCGCCTGGGTCATGATCCCAGGCGGGTACGGCAGGGATGTCCGACCGCCGGGGCGAATCTCTCCCTCTGCGGCCGCCCCCTGCTCCTCTGGGGCTGGGGGAGCGCGGGCCCAGGCCCTCCTCTCCCCCCGCCCCCGCCGCCTCTTCTGGCGGCCACCGCAGCCGCAGCGAGCCGAAGCCCTCAAGGCAGGAGACCCGGTGGCAGCGCGGCCTCAACTTTCCCAGCCCCCCTCCCCCCGCCCCTCCCCGCCCCTCAGCGGCCGCTGCTCTGCACGCGAGCAGCCTACCCTGGGTGCGCCGCACTCCCGCCCCTGCCACTCAGCTCACCAATCCGACTCCGGGGAGACTACCGTAATAGCCAATCAAGATAAGGAATGCCGTTGTGCTAGGCTAGAGGGCGGGAGGAGGTGAAGGGAAAACCGAAGAGTGAACGAGCCTCAGGCGGCCCAATGAGGACGGCCAGGGGGCGGAGGTGTGCAAGTTGGGTTGAAGGAACAGGAAATATTCTTAAAGGTAGAGTGATGGGCAGGAAGGAAAGCCATTAGATGAATGAGAAAGAGGTGGGCCTGGTTTCTTAAAGGGGACGCCTTGAAATCCTATAAACGGAGGTGTTTTAAGAAACTTCTTTGTATCTTGTTCTTCGTTATGCTTTCCACTTTCTGTAGACGTTTGTAAGTGGAAAAACTGAAAAGGAAGAGGGTAGGGAAGGCTTCAAGAATGATTAGAGAGCTCCTCTTTGCCTAGAGGGTAGGAAGGCGGGACGTGGCTTCTGTGACAAGAAGTGAGAAAGAAAAATGAGACTTCAGACGTCTCCGACTGCCCTTTCACTGCAAGATCGCTGAGGACCAAGCTGCCCGAATTTGTGGGCTGTGGTCATGTCATCCTTCAATTTGCAAAAATACAAAATAAAATATAAGTTAAAAAATCACGAATTCCCATGAACGGGAGATGACTGTGTTCAGAATATCCTGGGGGCCTCCCAGCTGGGAGAAAGGAATATGTGGCATTGGGAGATGAGTTTTGGGGTCCTAGTGACCGAGATCTAGGAGATGTAGAGCTGCGGTGATGGAATGAAGATCTGAGGGTCTCCTAATTCCAGGATGGGTTTGGAGCCTTGGAACCGTGGCCGTAACTCCGGTTTCCGGATTTCGCTTAATATTTCACAACCGCTCCCCTCCTGAAACAGGTGCCCTCCACCTAGTGGTAGTGGTCAAAGATTACCAAGTGTTTCCACACCCAGGTTTTTAACGTTCCAGATCTTAGATGTCCAAGAGCTAGACCAGGTAACTTCCAAAAGGGGAACACAGGGCATGGCATACTGGGAATTAATTGAGCCTGTGTAAAGAGGAAGCTGACCTTGTATTGAGAAAAAGTGTAAAATTAAGCAGTAACATCTTATGTTTGTACAGCAGCTTAAAAGCTATATTGAACCCTGGCCAAGGAGCTTAGTTAGAGAATCTGTCCTGTCAGGACTGCAGTTCAATCCCACGTCAGGGTACGGGTACATCAGAGAATCAACCAATGAATGCATAAATAAGTGGAATAACAAATCCATGTTTCTTTATCTCTCAAATCAATTTTTAAAAATTAAGAGCTATGAGGAAACAGAAGGCCTTAAATTTACTTACAAATTGTGGCAGCATAAAGTAGTCTGGAAATTTTCTTTAACTGTTTAAATTCTTGGCATATGAAGTTCTAATTTGCCTCTGAATGAACTTAGCACATCGAAATCAAAGCTGCAGCTCTGGCTGGTGTGACTCAGTGGATTGAGTGCTACCTTGTGAATCAGAGGTTCACCAGTTGGGATTCCTGGTAGGGACGCCTGCCTGGGTTGCAGGCCAGGTTCCCAGTGGGGGGCGTGCAAGAGGCAACCACACAGTGATGTTTCCCTTCTGCCCTTTCTTCCCCTCCAAAAATAAATTAAAAGTTTTTTTTTTTTTTAAAGCTGCAGGTAAAACCCTAGGATTCTGAGCCTAATGATACTAATAGCACCTCCATGAGTAGTATTGGTATGTAGGAAATCATTTCGTCTGTGATCAAAATATATAAAGTATTCTGGTTTAAAAATTACTCTGGTTGATATCTCACATCTATGGTTATGTATGATTTTCTAAGCAACTGCATTGTATGGAATCTTAAGTAACAAATACCTGTAAGTTTTAATGGCTCAGAAAAGACGACTTGAGATTCTTTGAACCACCATTAAATGCACATTAATACCCATCTGATACAATTTAGAAGTTTTGAATAAGACAGATTTTTACTTCATAAGTTCTCAATGTTAGCTCTTTAATGCTCATTCCTGACTGAAGCTTATATCCCATCATGGATATTTTCATTGTCTTTGCCCATACAATATCGGTTTACTGTACCATAGACACGAGAGGGCATCAAATAATCTCACTAGTCCAATTTTCCAGCTAGCTGACGCCTGCTTATACAAGTGAAACCTGTCTCCTTGCTTCCAGCAAAGTCCTTTTTTTTTTCACACAGCTCGAGAAAATCTGGTTTTCACCCACATACTTGAGACTCTTCAATGACTCTAATAGACTATTTGTATGACTTACAAGCCCTCTTCCTTGCATCCCATTATTTCATGACATCCTCTTTTCCCTACTGGGGTGAAAGATAAGGAGGGGTAGCTGCTGACCAAACGAATTGGGTAGGTGCGGGGGCGGCACCAGGAGGCAGCTCGGGATTCTACTCCAACTTCTGGCTCCAAGCCCTTGGAGGCAAGGGATGCTGTTTGCCAACTTGGTGGAGAGCACTGAGCCTGTTTGGGTGCTAGCGCGAACGATGCGTGAATGCTTCTGCCTGACGTCTGGACACCGCGCGCCCGCTGGTGCCAGCCCTTGCGCTGTCCCTCGGCCTTAGGATGCGCACCGGGCAAGACATGCTCCAGGCTTTCGTGTTTGCTTTATAAGCCTTCAGAAATGAACCGCCGAGACACAAGCGAATGGTCAAATTTTGAAATCTACATATTTCCCTAAGAAACTTCCCAGTTGTTTTCCAAAGTGGCTGTAACATTTCAACAGCAATATATGCAGATTCCAGATACTCCACATTACCTTCCAAATTTGATAGTCTTTTTAAATTCTAGCCCTGGGGGGGCACTGGGTAAAGTGGACTCTAGTTATTTCCAGTTCTCTAAGAGGTGTTGAGCATATTTTCATACATTCATTGACCAGTTGCATAGCTTCTTTGGTACTTTGTCACAATCTTAGGCCATTTTAAAATCAGGATGCTTGTCTTACTGAGTTGTAAAAGTTCTTTGTACATTCTAAAGGTTATTTCCCAGGTGTATGTTGTGCAAATATCTTCACCCATTCTGTATCTTGAAAAAACAAGAGCTTTATTGAAGTATGATTGACCCATTATAAACATTAAAATGTACATTTGTCTCAGCATGTTTACACCTGTGAAACCATGCTCTACAATAAAAATGAACATATCCATCCTGATGCTCCTTATTCCTTCTTCTTGCCCTCATCCTGCTCTCCAGATAACCACTAATCTGTCATTAAACATTCACTTTCATCTACTAGAATTTTATATAAGTGGACATATTTATTTATGGACATTTGGATTGTTTGCAATTTTGGACTATTACAAATAAAGATACTAGAACATCTGTACAAATCTTGTACAGGGTGGGGCAAACATAGGTTTACAGTTGTTCATATGAAAATACAATAAATAATACAAGAATAAACTTTTGCACTCACAGCTATAAACCAACTTTTGCCCACCTTGTACAGACATCTGCTTTCATTTTCTTTGGGTAATATACTTGGGTAAATATCCAGTGGGATGGCTGATTCATATGTAAGTGTGCCTTAAAAAACAAGAAAAACCCTAAATTGTTTTCCAAAGTTGTATACTTTGACCACTAGAATATTAGAATTTGAATTGTACCAATATGTGCTAACAATGTGGTCAGTCTTTTATAAAACTTCACTTTAAGTGTATGGTGGTATTTTGTTGTGACTTTATTTGTATTTCCTTAATGACTAATGGTACTGAGCATCTCTTCATGTACTTACTACCCATTTTTATTGGGTTGCTTGTTATTCACGAAGTCTTGAGAGTTCTTTATTCTGGATACATATACTTTGTCAGATTCATAATATGCAGTATTCTCTCAGTTCCTTGGTTATCTTTTTAGATTTTGTTTATTTTTTTAGAGGGGGGGGAGTGAGAGATTAATATCGACGTGAGAAACATACATCAGTTGCCTCTCCTATGCTCCCAACCGAACCACAACCCAGGCATGTGCCTGTGACAGGGAATCAAACTAGTGACCCATAGCCCAACTGAGCCACACAGCCTAGGGTTCTTTTCATTTTCTTAAATGTTTTCCAAACAGTAATTAATTCTTAGGTCCAATTTATCCATTTTTTTATAGACTGTGTTTCTGGTGTTACATCTAAGAAATCTTTTGACTAACACAAGGACAGAGAGATGTCTCTCCTATGTTCTACAAGTCTTATAGGTTCTATATTTAGATCCATTATGCATTTTTAATTGTTGTATAATGTGAACACATGGATCAAAATGTGTATTTCTGCATTGGGAAGCTCCATTTTTCCAGCACCCATTACAAGGGCCATCCTTCCTCCAGAGTTGCCTTTGGTACCAGCTGTGCTACTTGGACAGGGCCTGGCTGAGTTTCATTACAAGCTCAAACCAGAACCACCCAGCTGAGCTGCTCCTGGATTCCTGACTCAGAAACTGTGGGTGGTAATACTTGTTTTTAGGCTGCTAAATTTGGGATAATGTGCTATAGTGATAGCTAAGACATCAGGAAAAAATCACCCATTGTTTCTTCAATGAAACAAGCAAAATTCTGATTAGAATGCTTTTGACTAAGATATTAAACACTGAGTAAACTTTGTTAAAGAAAAACTATAAACCCATGTTCGTTTGAGCTTTAGAAAACAACTTTAAAAAGCAATTCCCAACTCATTCAATTACTAAAACTTTCCTCACTGCTAACAAAGAGAAAAAAAGTTAATATACATGACTTGTATTCAATGCATACTACTAAATGAGATCACAGCCTTTAGGTGTCAGACATCTTAAGCAATTACATTTTAAAAAATACAGCAGCAGAAAGACTTTTACCCTCATTGAGACTGAACTGCCCACTGATACTGGGCAGTGTTCCTGGCAAGTTTCAAAAGGTGTGATTTAGGAGGCCTTGATTAGACTTTGCTTATTTTAATTAGCTTTAAGCAAGATCTTAAATGTCAAAGTATTTTGAAAAATCAAACAGGCCAACAGTAAACAAAGACTACATAGAGCTGCTGATACCAGAATTCAACACAAAAGTGGGGTCTTTTCTGGACATTTATAACACATCACAGATTACTACCAGAACATCATCACATAAGTTTATTTCAGATGTAACAGCAATATTAAAATCATCAAGTTTAATTCTTAACTGCACCAAATAAACTTAGCCATTTAAGTATTTTTAAAGTTATTCCCTCCAAAAAACTGAGGGAGCTTTTCTTTTCCACCCCACACAACACATTTCTGAATAGTTCTGTTTTTGGAGGACTTTCAATTGATGGGTAAACTGCTTTGGGGATATTTCAGAACTTCTTTCCCCAAATAAAATCTAATCTGGACAAATTACATATTGCATAGATTTCTCTGCAGATTCTTTTTTTTTTTAGAACCCAAATGCAATAGCCATCCAGTATAAATTTTTACCTATTTGCCCCACAGTAAAAACTATTTGTCCTGAAAAATATGATGGATATATCCTATGATCATCCAATTAATAGAATAGTTTTACCTAGATAATTTTCATATTTCAAAATAACCAACTAAACATGAGACATTATTTCAGTCTTTACTGACTCATAAACATATGAACTAGTGCCCAGCTTCTATATCTTCTACAGCCGCCTCCTCTGTAAGTGGATGGAATTATTTATATAAGTCTGATGTAGGACAATTAACCTTGTACAAACATTTACAATTTAGGTTAAAGCCATTGACTAGAGTAGAAAAAGAAACATTATATATAATGATAGGGAGCCTACACACTCAATTCAAAATTTAGTTATTTTTTCCCCCTCCTTAAATAACATGTACTTAATTGTCATGAGGCAGCTATTCGGTTTTCAATAACCACATTTAGGGATACATTCATAGGACTGATTAGCCAGCCCAGGTGAAATGGTTATAGAAATAGAGGCAGTGTTATCTCAGAAAACTCATTTATATATCAAAATCTATTTTGATATCTGGAAGCTTACAAAAAGGCTGAATTCTTCAAAGTAATTATGCCTTCTGTAATTCAAGCACTCTTCTCTTGGCAAGAGCAAGCTGAAGGTTATCCATGAAGGTAAAGGTGCTTAATGCTAAACTTTTTTTCTAAGCTTAGATTTAGACTGCTGAAGAAACTGATACCCAAGAAATCAGCATGGTCTTTCTACATTTTAACTGTCTTAAGATTAGAACCCTATAAACCCCATTCAACTATCTTCCTTTTCTGTATTATTCTTGGCACTCAATTAAGACTGCTGAAGTCTATGTACTTTGTACTTTCACATTCTCAAATAAGAATTTTGGATTATAAAATGTGCATAAACGCTGTGTAAAATAATTGTCATTTAACATATTTGGAGATGACTTTCATAGCAGAATTTACATAAGAGGATAAATATTATGAATCAACCTCCCTTCTAAAGTCAAATGATAGAATCTTCAAACTCTGTGCATTGTTTTAAAGTCTAATGAGATCATTTGTTGGGCCACCAATATTGGCAAAGCAGAAAAATTTAACTATTGGAGATGGGACTATGGAGGAAAACAAGAAAATTTCAGTTGTCTCCTATCTTATAAAAAGTTCTCAACCCATTAAAACCACTCCTTATTCATCAGAAAATAATCTGGCCTAAACCAGTGCTGTCAGTAGAGGAGGTCACAGTGATATCTGCATTAGTAACACTTCTAGACTTTTACTTTTCCAAGAATAGAAATAATATGTTTAACAATTCTCCCTCCCCCAAATCCTTAAACTTAATATCATAGGCACAGAATGTAAGCAAATCTGGGATATTCTCTAACAGATAAGCAATAGCACAGCTATTTTATTCTCAAAAATACTGTCTAGATATTCTTTCCTATATAATCAAATGCTCAGTGGCCACACTTTTAACAGCCTGTATTAGCTGATATTAAATGCATTTATTGTGCCACAAGTCCATCTAAGCTTCCTTTTAGGTATGTTTTAATATGTCCAAGAGACAACACCTGCATCAGCATTCTTGAAGGGGATTGATCTATAAGGACATCAACTCCATTTTTGAAGTTAACTAACTATGGGTTTTCTGAAGAAAAAGGACAGGAGGGAAAAAAAGGTAAATCACAGCAAACCTCTTTAGGTCAGTTAAAGGCCATTATCTCTAGCTGGGATATTAAAAAAAAATTAATCTCACCAGCTCACACTCTAAAAGTTAACACCACTAATAACAATCAACAGCAGGTAAAATAAACCTGCTAACAACCAGCCAACTCATTAGCAAAAAGCAGTTTAACTCAAATACTGAGACCAAAGTCTAACACTACTACCCAAACTATCCCACCCACCCTCAGCCACCAGCAAGGAAGGAAGGAAGAATTGCTTAAGAAAAAAATAATAAGCTTAGTATTTCTTACAAGGATAACAATGGTCCAACTCCTGAGATAGTACTTAGGACAACAGGTGGAGTTGAAGGCAATGTCTAGGGATTAGTATCCCACAAACAGTCTTGAGAAACCCAAAGTACCACAAACACACTAAACTTGTCTATGATTAGAGAACAAGATATTGCTGCTGCTTCTTTTTGTATTTTGAAATATACAGTATTTTGTAGGCTCTGCACTTCAATGTGAAAGCAGGACATAAAAACAAGCTAAAAATAAACTGAAACTGACACCCAAATTTTTGGGACCAAATATCTTAACCATGAAACTTCCCACAATCAATCCACCTCACAACAATGAGAGAACTAAAACAATCCAAACATGATTAATTTTGAAAGTCCTTGAAAGTATTAAAACTTTTAGAAGAGAAGGAAAAACAGGTGGAAAAACAAGAACAAGGAGCGGGAAAAGCTTTAAAAGAAGAGGGGTGGGGCAGGAATCAATGGGCCTCTTTTTTATTTGGCGACAAGCAAGTGCAAGAAAGTCCATTTGTAATTTGTTCAGTTGTCTGTCTTTTGCATGTCTGCATTCTGGCCAGAAGGGACTTTGAGGTTTTTCTGTAGCACATGAGCATCTGCGGGCTCTATCCTCTTATAGTAGTTCTTCTTGGTCTCAATAATCTCAAAGCCAAACTTCCTGTAGAAGTCAATTGCCGACTCATTGCTGATCTGGACGTGCCTGAGATATGGGAGGGTATCAGAAAAAAAATTAAGATTTAATCAGCTTTTATGTGTTCTCCACAGACAGCAGAAAAAAAGTTTTAAAAAATTAAAAAATTGGGTCTCAAATGTCTGAATATGTCCCTCTTTATAATTTCTATGAAAGTATGCTGTATTTTGAAAATAAGTAATTCCAGCTTTCTCAATTACTCCTCAAATAGCATTATATAACTTAATCTCTCCTGCTGCCAAAATAAATGTGAGAATTTTAATATCTATATTATAAACAATCCATTGTTATGACCTATGCTTGGCTCTTAAATCTAAGGTCTGTTAAGATTCAAGTATAATGGTATCAGCCAGGTAATCTCTGATTTTGATTATTAAACTCTACTACTAATGAGCACATTAACTACACTTTCAACAAAATGCAGAGTGCAGAGGGCACAGAAAAGTAGTATTAATGAATACATTCTTAAATTTAAGACTTGAGTTTTAATCTTGATTTTATCCCTGTGACTTTGGACCCCCCTCCCACTCCAACATAATAAAACAAGAATATTTTATCTGATTTCTTATCTATTATTAAATGAGACAATAAAACATTATAACCACTACATCCATGGTGTTTCCAAAAGAATGAATAAGTGACCAGAACTTGAAGATTCTATAAAGATTTCTATCGACAATTTATTAAATTCTTTAGATAACATTAAATATCATTTAACTTACAAATAGATGTTGTCAAAAGTGCCGTCTTTTTCACAGATGTTTAAGACATGATTTAACATTTTAGTTCCTATTAATAAGACAAACAAGTAAGTAATCTCGTAAAGATCAATCTTTCAATTATACATCTAATGGCCATCTTAACACTACTGAGTCCTTACAGAATTTGAAGTAAACACCAGACATCCTAATTTTCCAAACATTTGTTTTCTTATATATTATGTATATTTCAAACTGCTAGCACAAAAGCAAACTTTATATACAAGACATTCCAAGTAGAATGAAAACTGAAAAAGCAAAAGGGACATTAATAACAAACCTATAAAGGGCTTCCAAATAAATTATGTTTAAAAAAATAAGTATTTTTCACCTTATATAACAATAACCATTTCCCAGTAGTCCCAAAAGAACTGATTTGACTTACTGGGTCAGAAACAGTTACAATTGTGTTTATACTTCTTTGAAGCAGCTTTTTTAAAAGATCAATAATTTTACCTATTCCTAGCCTTCGGTATGGTGCCAGACATCCTAGTGTCATGATGTAAAGTCTCTTCTGATTCTGTGAATGATCCACCCTACAGCATACTGCACCTACTGCAATATCATTGAAATAGGCTGCCATGGAAAAACAAAGATATAACATTCAACAGACAGAATATCACATTTTATTAAATCTTTCCCATCCCCCTCTATGAGGACTAAATTGTTGCTATCAGCATTAAGTTTTTTCAGTTACTCCGAATATCAACAGCCTCAAAAACCTCCTATACCTTCTTAGGAATTTAATTCTCATTGAGAGTAAAGCTAAATATGTGAAAACACAAGAAAAGATTTAGCATTTCCTTTTAAAATTCAAATATTTTCTCTTGATTTCTGAGGTTTTTCTTACAACCTGAATTATCCCCATTTCTTCACTTGTAAAATAAAAGAGATTAAATTGGTTACCTCTTTCTGCTTTACTACTAACAAGGGGTCAAGAATATGAATAAATGAAGAAAGAAAAAAACCATATTATACCAAGTTTTGCTAGCTCGCCAACTTCCAGCACATCCTTGTAGAACTTGTCATTGTAGCTGACTGGAAAGATGACCTGGTTTAATCTCTTCAGCTGCTTAATATTGTGTGGTGTCACATCTCCCAGCTCGATCCGGCTACTGGAACAAACCAAAAAGTACTCAGTAAAATATAATTAGCAGTATTTGTTAAGATGAATATATTAAAAAGGCACCAAATCTTTTTTACATTATTGATAAATCTTTTCAACCATAACTTTATATTCCTATGAAGATTTCTAATTTATAAGCAGACTTTGCCAGCCATTTCATCCACATTCAACTCAGTATTCATATACTTGTACACATTTACAGATAAATACAATAAACAATTACTAAGAAACCCAGAATAATACGCTACATATATGCCAAAATTTTCCATGTCATCTACAGTTCAAAAAGTTAAAAACATCTATTACTGATCAAAAAGAATGATGATACCGAACTTTGGCAAGGTGGTAGTAAATGGGGTTCTTACACTCTGGTGGTGGGAATGTCAATGGATGTATCTCTGGAAGACAATTTAGTGCTATGTACCAAAAAGCCAAAAAGTGCATCTCTTTTGTCCAAGTAATTCTACTCTAGAATTTTTTTCTAAGAAAACAGTCCAATATATAAAGATGAAAAGCTATGCACAATCTATTCATTGAGCCAGGAACCACCTACAGAATCACATGGAGTAATATTCAAAATCCAGATTCCTGAATCCTACCCCACACATTCAGAAGCAGAATCTCTGGAGCCGGAACAAGGGAGTCCATATTTTAAAAGAAAAACAAACAAACAAACAAAAATAAAACAAATCACCCCACTTTGAAAACTATAATTAAATTGGTTCCAGGGGAAAAGAGGTTAAAGTTTCAGATTCATAATAACAAAACTATTTTGCCTACAGAGCTATCAACAAAAGGAATTCTTAATAGCTCAAGTCAATTTTACTGTCATAAGGTAAAGGGTGATCAATTATGACATGACAAACCTGAATAGCATCTACATAATTTTTTCTTCCTGTTACCATTAACACTATCATTAGTAGAGGTGCTTATATACATTATTTGTCTTCTTAAAAGTCTTAACAAGGGGTGATAAAAAACACTAAAACAACATCAAATAGCCCTGGTTGGTATGGCTCAATGGACTGAGTATCAATGTGTGAACTGGAAGGTTGCAGGCTCGATTCCAGCCAGGGCACATGCCTGGGTTGCAGGCCAAGTCCCTTGGGGGTGTGTGGGAGGCAACTGATTGATCTCACACGTTTTTCTCCCTTTCTCCTTCCCTTCACCTCTCTCTAAAAAAATAACTAAATAACTTAAAAAATCAAATGAAAATGAATTCAAAAATAAAACAATCTGATGCCAACCAAGCAGCTAGAAAACTATGTACATCCTACTCTTTCAGTGCTTGTTCCAGATCACAATTAACATTGGTCAAAAGCAGGCAATACAAACAATAGCCTAATTAATCATTTGCAAAATAGGTACATAGGTTTTGATAACTCTGTTAAAGAAATGGCTAACCAAGAATGTTAATCATCACACATTTATAAGAACAAAAAAGAAAAATCTGAGTGTCCCCTAAGGGGACTGGTAAAATAAAGCATGATACACTTACCAGCAAGGAAAGACAGTGTTGATATATTGTTTTGTATATAAAATTATGACCCAATTTTTGCTAACGCATACAAAAATATTTAAAAACACATTCCAAAATACACGGTAAGAATTGTAGGTAATCTTTAAAACAAAATTCTCTCAAATATTAAAATTTAGGTAATCAGAAAACAACAGAATGTATTACAGTTCTTAAAAACAAACAAACCTGATTATAGACTATTATGTTCATTTGAAACTTTAGCCTTCCAGCCTCAATTATTCCAATTTTATGCTACCAATTTTTATTACTTAATTGTGACCAACTACCCTTGAACATCTCATATGTCTTCTTAAAATCGGAACACAATGTGTTTCTTAGCAGCCACACAAAATTTTTAAATATCTGATAAAAAATAGAGATATCTTTTCCAGTTTCTAGCCACAAGAGTGAATATGAGTAAACATGGCCTTGTCCCAAGTATTTGTTAACTGAAATAAATTCCCTTCATGAGATTCTTGTCTTCTTTAAATAGGTTACACTTCATTCACACAACTTCCCCTCTCTTTACAATTTTATCTAACCCTGACACTTCACCCAAAACCTTTTTGTGATTAAACCTAATGGGCTCACATACCTACCACCCACTCAGGTTTTTTATCAGTACTATTACACTGTAAAATACAGGATCCCTTAAAATACAGAAATTACATCTTCCATAAATATCTTAAAGAATCCCTCCCATTTAATTAACACATCCATCACCTCATATATTTATCATTTTTGGTCTGTGGGAACATTTATGGTCTACTCTCTTAGCAAATTTCAAATATAAATACAGTTTCCATGTTATGCATTAGATCCTCAGACCTTATGCATTTTGTAGCTGAAATTTTATACCCTTCTATCAATCTCTTCCCCACTCCCCTGACCTGGCAACCACTTTTCTACTGTGGGGGGGGTGTGTGTGTGTGTGTGTGTGTGTGTGTGTGTGTGTGTGTGTGTGTGTGTGTGTGTGTGTGTGTCTTTTAAGATTCTACATAAGTGATACCATGTAGCATAAAGGGGTGTGTGTGTGTGTGTGTGTGTGTGTGTCTTTTAAGATTCTACATAAGTGATACCATGTAGCATAAAGGGGTGTGTGTGTGTGTGTGTGTGTGTGTGTCTTTTAAGATTCTACATAAGTGATACCATGTAGCATAAAGAACCACAAATTGGGTGTAGTAGTTTCTTTTAACCATAACATATCTTTACTAATTATATTTAATAAATTACTTCTACTAATGTAGTAGCTTATTATTTATAATTTAATTACATTTAATACCTCAAAAAATCACTCCATTGCACTTTTAAGAAAGTTAGTCTCTGTATTTTAAAAGTGATCAAAAATTTACATTATTAAGTTTAACAATGAACAACAATAAAGGAAAACTTAAAAAACTAGAAGACAAGCTTCTCAATTACAAGTGAAAGAACTTGAATTAGAAAAATTTTAAGAATGGCCCTGACTACAGTAGCTGAGTAGGTTGGGAGTCATCCTGCAAACAGAAAGGTTGCTGGGTGATTCCTGGTCAGGGCACATACCTGGGTAGCAGGCATATGAGTGGCCACCAATCAATATTTCTCTAAAACATGAATGTTTCTCTCCCTCTCTTTCTCCTTCCCCTCCCCTCTAAAAAAATGAAATCTTTAAAACATAGAAATTAAAAATTTAAGAATGATTTCTAAGTAATTACTGGGCTTCAAGTATATTTATAAGTAGAAGGAAAATAACCAGGTATTCCTTGGTTTCATGTAGAAGGAAAAGATGGTTATAGTCCAGTGTGCTAGAATGAATCTAATTAAAGTTAACTACTAACAAAGTTTCCATTAGGGTAGACAGATCAAACCTAAGTATAGAACACAATATTAAAATATGAGGGAGTAGGCAGCTTAATCTTTCCCTGCTTAACTTTAAAATATACATGTCTTGATTTAAGAAAAGAAAAAGAAACAGTCCATTGCCATAGAAATGACTTAGAAAGTGAAAATATCCTGTACTACTATGACCAGAAATAACTATGATAGTCTTCCCGTATTTTTCTATGTACAAACAGACACATACATATTTTAGAACATAACTGGATACTATAAAACTGTTTGGTAACTATATTAAATGTAACTGTCAGCAAAATTCATCTTCAAATACAGTTTAACTCACATGAACATGATATGTCTGGTTGAAATGGAATACTTCTGTAATCCTGATCACTTAGCTCTGAATTATTTTAAGTGGATATTCTAAATATATCAGAGTAATATCATCTACTTATAAATATAATTTAGCAAAGGATGTCTACTGCATAGAGGGCTATGTAGAAATGTCAAGAAAATGAGAACACTTGACTGTTAAACAACCAAAAACCTTTCAGAAGTTAAAAAAAATTTTTTCTAAATTACAAGCTCAGAATTCTATCTATAAATCTAAAATGTTGTAGAGCTCTCATTAATATCAAAGTTGCTTATTCAAAGCATAAATCAGTTATTTTAACATTTGAACACCTACATGCTAATACACCTAGAATGCAAAGGACTTTACACCTACTAAGAAATATAGGTATATATATAATACAATGTGCTAATAATACCATATGTACACAAAGTATAAAAATATTAGAATGGAAGTGATACTGGGAAAGGTTGGGAAGGAGGACTAGGAGTTTGTTTTGTGGGAGGTAAGAAATGCATTCTAAGGAGAGAGTAGAACGAACAAAATAGCAATGATGAATTCTCAAAACTATAGGCAATGTGATATGGTAAGACAAAGCATGCTTTGTGTAAACACTGGAGCTAGAGCTGAAGAGGAAGAGTCCGTTTTACAAGGATCTTACATATCAAGACAGTACTGGTTGTCTTTTCTATCCACGCTTATTTTGGTGACCTCAATCTCATAGTCTTATGGCTTTAATAATGACAACTTCCACATTTCTGTCTTTAGTCTAGAGCAGGGGTGTCCAACATGCAGCCCATGGGCCACATGAAGCTCAAGATGGATATGAATGCAGCCCAACACAAAATCATAAATTTATTTAAAACAGTAGATTTTTTTGGAATTACAGGTCACAATGTATTTAATGTGTGGCCCAAGACAACTCTTCTTCCAGTGTGGCCTGGAGACGCCAAAAGGTTGGATACCCCTAGTCTAGCAGAAAACTCCTGAACTACAAAGAATCTCTAGCAGACCCTCAAATTAAACATCCAAAACTAGATCTGACCATCCTCCTGAAATCTGTTTCACCTGGAGGCTTCCCTATCAGGTCTCTACATCCTTGCCTGCCAGCTATTCTCTTACCTCCTTTGAGTCTTTGTTCAAATACCTCAAGAAGGGTTATTCTGACAAACCTGTTGTACTTTCATTGTAGTATTTTTGGCAGGCTTTCTTATCAATCAGGCTTATGTTGGCCTTAAAGAAAATTTAGAAGTGTTCCTTCTTGCCCTTTAATTCTGTCAGTGTTTGCTTTATTTATTTTCAA